TTTTGTCCCTACATATCAAATATCAATAATTTAGTTCCCAATTATTATATTGTTTTTCACGAATGGTCCTTTGTTAACATTTTCGTTAAAAACGCGGATAAAATTGTAACTTTGCGCTCCTCTCTCTCCTCAATTAAGCTTCCTCCCTTCTCTCGCACTCTTTTTCCAAACCCGTCACCGAGCTTAAGGCTTTGAAGAGATTGGTGGATTTGGTTGGGTTGCTATCTTGCTATTTAAGGGAAGGGCAATTATGACATTTAGCCCAAAACTTTTTACCTAAAATGGAAAAGGGAAATAAATTTTTGGACATACGAAAAAGGATAGTGTGAAGTTAATTGTTGGACGGAGGGAGTATATATTTGATATGTATGAACTAAATATGTAAAACGAATTATAACTGGGGACTATAGAATTTACTCTTAACTATTCGATCATCCTTCAAAATAACACCTTGGTTCCCATGACATTGGGAACCAATGTCATGGGATGACCCGGGAACGCTCCGGTGCCCCGTTCGTAAAATTGACAGATCTTACCCCCTAACCGCTCCGGTAAACCCCCCACCCCACCCCGACCAGAACGCACCCCTCCACCCCCTTCAATTGCACCCCACAAGTTGATTTTGACTTTGGAGTCAAAATTCGACTCTGAAGTCAAAATCAACTTGTGGGGTGCAATTGAAGGGGGTGGGGGTGCGTTCGGGTCGGGGTTGGGGTTTACCGGAGGGGTTAGGGGGAGTAGGAACCGTCAATTTTACGAACGGAGCACCGGAGCACCACCGGGTCATCCCATGACATTGGGAACCTTGCCCTCAAAATAAATGCCCCAAATTGAACTTTAACACCCAAACAAACTAACCAGACACACAGTAGCTAAGCTTGAGCAGCTATTACCTTGAGCAAAAAGAATTTCAGCATCAGCACCAGCCATACGTCTTACAACAAGAACATAGGGCTGCGTGTTGGCTCGTTCTACAAGAACAAAAAACAAACATCAACGAGGGCTCTAATCGAATCAAATTAGAACATTCTATCTCAAAAACAAAAGAAAAAGAAAAAGAAATTGTATCAGAGTTTTATTCATGAAAATTCAATTGAAATAAAATCACGGGTTTAGGGCTCAAGGGTTAAGGGTTCTAATCATCAAATTCAAATGTCTGGTCCCCCGCCGCCGCCGCCGCCACGCGCATAAAAATCTGGGTTTCGTTCATTCAAATTCGATAAATAAAAACAGATATATAGGAAAGAAGGGTTTGCGTACTAATCGAATTACCTCTAGCGATTCTGGCATTCTCAGCTTGAACGCGTGCACCGATCCAAATCATTATTGAATTGAAACAGAGGAAGAAAACTACGGGCTTGGAGAGATGGAGATGCCCTGGGACGAGATCCACAATTTCCAATGAGATTCCGATTTTTCTACCAGTAGATTTTTAAAGAGGCCTGTTGGTTGATCTGATCTTGACCTGACCAGGGGATGGGGCTTTGGCTTGTACCGGACAGGCGAACGGTCCTATTTGCCTTCCTACCAGATATCCTTATTTAGGGTCCGTTTGGTACACGGAATTGATGGAATTGGAATTGAATTGGAATTAAAATTTCTTGGGATTCAATTCCATAAAATTGAATACATCAATTCCAATTCATTTTTTGCACTACCAATTCCAAATCCACATATCAATACATTTTTTGTGCTATCAAACATGAGAATTAGAATTGAAGTCCTCAATTCCAATTCCATAGTTTGAATTCCGTGTATCAAATGAGACCTTACTTATGGTTTAGGGTGTACCAGGTATATGCTCCATTTTTTATCACTAATTTACAATTAAAATTCAATTTATCTTCTCTTAGTAACCATCTAATTGGATCTAAGGAAACATTCAAGGATGTGGATCATCCTTTTTTTCCCTTCACCTAAGGTGTGGAAAAGGGAGGAGAGGTTTGATTCTAAAATTATGGAAGGGGATCTAAAATACTAAGTGTTACCCGAACTACCTAGTTAGCAAGCCGAATTGCTATTGAATATTTCCTACATTGCCTGGATAAAAAAAATTTCAAAATTGTTAACTACTGAGCATATGAGTTTATTTTCAATAAGATAATTTAAAATAAATAGGAGTTTTCTTAAAATAAACTAAAAAATAGATAAGAATTTAATTTTAAATTAATGGTTTTCGTAATATTCCTTAAATAAATAGTGTCCATAACATCACAAAAAAAATTATGATCGAGCGACATAACTTTAATTTACCTGAATGAGACGTCACAAGTTCGAAAAAATGGACTCTTTATGTTTTAATAACTTGAGAAAGAAAATATGAACAATCAATACATATCAATAGAATAAATAATACTGAAAAATGGTGCTCATAACATTTACACAAGAAATAAAATTTAAAAATTATAATAGAGAATAATCTAATCCCAATGTGTTTATCCTATTTGATTTCAAAAAAGATTTTATAAACTTTATTAATCTTTTAAAAAAGAAAGCTTGATGTGGCTTTTAATAAACTATTCATTATTTTCCCTTTTATTACATCTCAAAATAAAGATTTATATAAATTTTGATGCATGTACATCAATATTAAAACTAAAACTTTTTTCTCAAATGAGATATTTTATAGTTAGAAATTATTTATCAAACACATCATATATCATTATTAAAGAATTTAAAATAAATAATATTAAATTTTTTAGATGTCAAAATTTAAAATATATGTCAGCCCGTGTGAAACACGGGATTAATACTAGTATTGATAAAAGTAAAAGTTCTAACACCCAGAAAAGAAAATGTCTATTTATTAAATCAAACAAAAAATATAGAGCAAATGAGAAGATATTATTGCCTCTAATGGTTTATACCCATTGAGACAATAAAGGATATTAAGCCAACAAAAGCATATATATATTTATATATACACAACACACTAATAACAACCCTGTACAACAAAAAAGTGATGGGAAATAAAAGCCCAGTCAGAAATAATTCATAAAAAAAATAAATATGTAAACAGAATGGAATTGCACCTTCTTAGAACATGTCCACTTCCAATAAACTATGAAGATTGCCCTCCTAATATATGTCTTAATGTACACAAGGATTGGGGATCTCACATTCACCAAGTCCCAAAGCTGCAGCCAACATGCTCCTGGGTGATGATGTCAAAGCGGCTCTGCATGACAGACATGGATGGGTAGGGAGGGAAGCAGAGGCGGTAGAAGCACGTGTGTGAGGAGGGGAGGTGGTCGGACGGCTCTGAGCTTCTGTAGATGCAAAGCCTTGAACCCAATCCGCTGAACCCCTCTATGGGCAAGAACTTTATGGATGTCCAGAAGAAGAGAAGAACTTTGCGCTGTTCTGCTGTCATTGTCCCAACTATCTGCAGCAGAAGCATAAGGCAATGTGGAAACTAGTTTGAATTCGGAGGGATATAAGCGTCAAATACTCAAGTAGTAATGGAAGGATGAATCTAAATGCTAAACATTGTTTGGGTGGATACTATGCATGAGGAAAAAGCAGTCCATTGTTTGGTTTAGTTTAGATTATTAACTATACATTGCTAAACATTTGTTTGTCAACCTAGGATGACAAGCAAATGCTTAGTATTAGTATTGTGATGAGCATCAAAAAATATAAAAAAATAAAAGATACTAGAAAAATTTAGCAATAAAAAGGAAAGATAAAGGGGCACTTTTGTGCTATAAGCCTATTTTTCTTCATAGCAACAACACCACCGAAACCCAATACAATCCTACTCCGTTTGGGTTTTGGGATCAAAATGTATGTAATCTTGTCCCTTAAAGTTGTTTCCAGTTGACCCTTGATGCAATGCTTCATTTACTACCAAAAATTTCATAGAAACATGCAAACAAAGTTTTATGTATCATTTTGATCTAGTTCACCATTTATCAGTATAGCTAAAACAGTGTCATTTTTCTTCACAAGAAGGTAGCAAAAGACATTTCAAAAGGGATGCATGGGAACGGAAATCCTAAAAATAAATAAAATGACAAAGATTTCGTTCAGTTATTCTCAATAAATAGAAGTAAAGAATATATAACTCCTCCCTACCAGAGATTGCTATTAACCACAATGTGTGATCAGGTGGTCCTTAACCTTCTCATCTGGTAAGGTAAAATTATTAGGAAGAAACAGTGACTTTCAAATGTGTACTCATTTTTAAGCAATTTAAATATGAAAAGGCCGGACAACCTTTGGCATCATTAAGTCATTTCCATCACACCACACTCACTTCTTTCTCAACAATGAATGCACATATTTGGAATATGACCAACATGCTCATTCATGTTGTGAAGGGTTAATATATATGAAACACTATTGTTGATATTTATGAGTTTGAGGTGAAAATATAATACCCCCTCCGTTCATAATTTTTTTCCCATTTTCCTTATTTGCCCGTTCATAAATATTCTTCTCATTTCCGTCTTTAGCAAATACCTTTTCTTTAAATGACAATACTACCCTCAACCTTACCCATTAATTAGCACCCATCCTTACCCATTTTGTTTCACTTTTTTTTCAATTACCTAAGGGCAAAAATAGAAAGTCAACACAAATTTTACTTTTCCTAAACTTGTGTGTTTAGTTAAAGCAGGCAGTTAAATTGGTTGACCGAGGGAGTACTATGTTAGTATGAATGGTTCAAGGAATTTGAAAGAGAAGAAAAGAAAATGATATGAAATATGAAAAATTTCCTTCAATTTTGGTGAGGAGGAGAAAGATCTGTTTTTTTCCTTTCCTTTCCTTTCTAATTCCTCGAACCAAACATAGCACAAGCGGTGAAAGAAAAA